AAGAGCTATTATATTAGTACCTTTCTCAAGATAATTTTAAAAGTAATTCAGTTTTAAGGAAATATAAAACTATAGATTGAGATTTAGAAATTGATTTCCTTAAAACTGTCCATAACTGTTTATCCTTTAGAAAGTTGTTGTGTATTGGGGCTGAGGCTTTAGCTCAGCAGTAGCACACTTGGCTGGCATGTGCGAGGCACTGGGTTCAATTCTCAGTACCACATGTAAATAAAAAATAAAGGTTTATCAATAACTAATATATGTGTGTGTGTGTGTGTGTGTGTGTATATATATATTAATTATATATAAAATAAAGTTTAAAAAGTTGTTGTGTATCCCAGGAGTTTACATATCCTAAGATTTTGAATGGCTTGTGGTAATAAGAAGGTCTGTATGGATCCTTACTTTAAACCAATTTCTATTTCTATTGGAAAAAGTTTGTAATTCTGATGGAATTAGGAAAGACCTTTTATTTTTGTTCATAGTGTCTTGATATGCTTTTTTTTTTTTTTAAACAGAATAATCTCTTTGCCTTTTGGCTTTGGTCTTGAATAGTTTCACTGGTCCTCTATAAAAAGACTTATGTCTTGAATTTGAGCTATTATCTCCACGGATATTGCCTTTCTACATTATTCTTTTGGGGATTCTTAGTAGACAGCAGACTATTGTTTTTTTATATTCTTTATCCTGTGTTTTAAGTTTAATAGAAAAAAGATAATAAACAAGAAGAACATAACTTTCATATTCTAGGTAATGTTCTTGGTTCTTTTTTCCAAATCACTCATTCTTATCTTCAGCTGTCTCTAATCTGCTGTTTAATCTGCCCTTTGATTTCTTTTATTTTCTTTATTCCCCCCACCCCCAACTACTGAGGACTGAATCTAGAGCTATAGCCCCAGACCTTTTTTCTTTTTTAATTTTGAGACGGGGTCCCTAAGTTGCCAAGGCTGGCCTTGATTTTGCAATCTTCCTATCTCAGCCTTTCTTTTTTTACATTTCAATGACATTTATCATTTGTAGAACTTCTGTTGGTTCTTTTTCAAAATCACGTTTTTTTTTTTTCTCTTGGTATTTAGTGCTTTCTTTACTGTTTTAAGTTTTTGTTTGTTTGTTTGTTTTGTTTTTTAAAACCTTTTTTTTTTTTTTTTTTTAGTTGTAGTTGGACACAGTATCTTTATTTTTATGTGGTGCTGAGGCTCAAACCTAGTGCCTCACATGTGTGAGGAGGGCGCTCTACCAATGAGCTACAGCCCCAGCCCCAGCCTAAGTTTTTTTTTTTTTTTTAAGTTGTTGATAGACTTTTTTTAAAAATATATTTATATGTGGTGCTGAGAATCAAACCCAGTGCCTCACACATGCAGGCAAGTGCAGGCAAGTGCGTTACCACTGAGCCACAGTCCCAGCCCTATTTTTATTTCAGTTTTGGGATTTAAATGTTTTTAAACATTTTTTTTTTTTTAAAGAGGGAGTGAGAAAGAGTGAGAGAGAGGGAGAAAGAGAGAGAATTTTAATATTTATTTTTTTAGTATTTGACAGACACAACATCTTTATGTGGTGCTGAGGATCGAACCCAGGCCGCACGCATGCCAGGCGAGCGCGCTACCGCTTGAGCCACATCCCCAGCCCCTGTTTTTAAACATTTTTAATGCCAGTAATCTTTTAATATCTTTTAGGGCTCTCTTATTGATCTGAAATTATTATGTGTTAAATTTCCTGAGCATCTATTCTCTCCTAAAATTAACTATGTGATGATTTTTTGCACATTTAGTAATTTCAATGAAATATTTATTCATACAGTAAATTTATTTTTTATTTTTTTTATTGTTTTGATACCAGGGATTTAACTCCAGGGCACTCGACCACTGAGCCATATCCCCAGCCCTATTTTATATTTTATTTAGAGACAGGGTTTCGCTTTTGTTGAGGCTGGCTTTGAACTCACGATCCTCCTGCCTGAGCCTCCCTAGCTGCTGGGATTTCAGGCGTGCAGGGATTACAAGTGTGCACCACTACACCTGGCTAGTAAATACATTTTGAACACAATGTTCTTGGTGCTAGCAAATAGATAAGTTTATTTTTCTTGTGGAACTTATTTTCTAGTGATTGGTTATGCATTAGTTACATAATGATTGATGTTATTATTTAGGGATTGGCAAATGGAAGGTTTATGAGTTGAATATGGCCTGCAAATTTTGTTCCTTAAGCTAGAGTGGTTTTTACATTTTTAAATGCTTTAAAAAAATCAAAGGATACTATTTCACAACAAGTAAATATATAAAATTGAAATTGGTGTCCATAAAGTAAAATTTTACTGGAAAACAACCATACTCATTTATATATTGTATTAACTACTTTTTATATTATAACAAAAGATTTGAATATTTGGACAGACTTTATATAAAATATCAGATTCTAAGTCTGTTGACAACTATCCACTTTTATAGAGTTTTGTGACATTTTATATGAAACTATGTAATTCATATAATGCATGGCACTAGCATTATATCTTCCCTAATGGCTACATTTTGTTAACATTATTAAATGTAGTTATTTAATAGTTTTTCTTTGTTAATGTGTAACTGACCTCAGTGAGGCCTGTGTTTTAGTTGGCTTTCTAGAAATGTGATTGTTTTGTGCTAATCCATCTGTTTTATAGCGCTCTTGCTTTTTTTTTTTTTTTTTCCTTTTTGCTTTTGCATTACTGGGGATTGAACCCAGGGGTGCTCTACCACTGAGTACATCACCATCCCTTTTAATTTTTTATTTTGAGATGAGGCCTCGTGAAGTTGCTGAGGCTGGCTTTCAGCTTGTGATCCTCTGCCTCAGCCCAAGCTGCTGGGATTACAGTTGTGCGCCATTGTGCCTGGCTTTTAATTTTTATTTTGAGACAAGGTCTTGCTAAATTGCTCAGGCTGGCCTAGTTTGTGATCCTCTTGATTCAGCCACTTTAGTAGCTAAGATTATAGGCAAATGCTACCACATTTGGCTGAATGTATCATTTTGATTTTGTTAATAGTTATGCTCTAATTTGTAAGATAATCAGCCATAAATGGCTCCATTTTACTTCTTTATGTCTTATTTTCTCACCAATAATCTGAGGTAGCTTACCAAATTAAGAGTTCAAATAAAGTGATGGAAAATAAAAACTTTTAGGAAAAGTTAAATGTGGCAGGTATCTAAAATAGTTTATGTGTAGTGTTTTAATTCAGCAATTATCTCTTGAGTTTTTGTGCAGTTAGAATTATGTGATAAGACAGGCTTTACAAATTTACATTCTGTGATTCTATTTTAAAGTGATTTCTTTTTCTTGGTGCTCTATTCCAAGTATGACAGATGGTAGGAAACTTTTTTCTAAGGGAATTTGACAATACAATAAAAGATCTTTTTTTTTAAAAATGAAATACATAGTTATCCGACAAAGCTAAAATTACTGGTTGTTTTCTTGTTGACTAAAATTACATAACCTATAAGCACTGTATAGGCAACAAAATTGGAAAATGAAGAATTTTTAAGATCCTTTTGCTTATGATGGTGGAGTTTGTGTTGTCTATAGCTGTCCTTTAGCTAGGGCTTTTTATGAGAGATACTTCTTGAGGTACTGTGGGTTTCTATATAAATACTTAGGGGAAAATCAAGATACTATCTTATGTTTTCTTTTTTTAATTTTTTATTGATTTTATTTCTTTTAAAATACACGACAGCAGTGGAATGCATTACAATTCTTATTACATATATAGAGCACAATTTTTCATATATCTGTATATAGAGTATGTTCACGCCAATTCATGCCTCTATACATGTACTTTGGTTTTTTTCTTTGCATTACAATTCTTAATACACATATATACCACAGTTTTTCATATCTCTGTTTGTATATACAGTATGTTGACACCCAATTCAAGTCTTCATACATGTACTTTGTATAATGATGTCCATCACATTCTGCCACTATCTTATGTTTTCTTGAAGAAATGTAAAAAAGAAAATAAAAGATTGTTTCAAAAATGAAATTAAGTCAGTGCGGTAGCACACACCTGTAATCCCAGCATCTCAAGAGGCTGAGACAAGAGGATTGCAAGTTCAAAGATGGCCCAAGTAACTTAGTGAGACCCTCTCTCAAAATAAAAAATAAAAAGGGTTGGAGATGTGGCTCAGGGCCTCTTGAGTTCAAGCCATGGCACCAAAAAAAAGAAAAATTAAACTGCTTGGTATGGTGGCACTCACCTCTAAGTCCCAGCTATTCAGGAGGCTCAGGCTAGCATGGGTAACATAGAAGAGATCCTGTCTTAAAAAATAACAACAAATGAAATTAAAGTGCATAAGAATGATTCAGAATGTTATTTTGGGAAAGTTATCACTAAGAATTTAGGACCTTTTAGCCATAAATTGTTGGAAAACAGCTTTTAAGTGTCTTGTAAAATGACTATAACCAAGGTTGGTGTCTTCAATGAGAGCTTAAGGAAGGCCATTATGTTATACTGATCTCCCCAAGGTGATTATAATATGTTTATGCTAACATTTGCATCCATGAAGGTATAAAGACATTATCTAAATTTCTGTGTTGATATAGAAACTTTCATGTAAAGCAAAAATCCTTACAGAAAAGCCTAAGTTAAATTGACTATTGATTGCCACATTTGGCAGTACTGTCCTTTGGATAGCAACAAGACTTGTTAAGCATAGGAATTATTTTATCTTTTTCTCTCTGGAGAAAGCTATTCTAAGATCCACTATCCTCATTTTTTTCAACTATCTTTGGAGAGATTTACAGAAGAGAAAATATACTCCCCTTTCCTAAAAATATGCACTGTTTTTAGGGGAAAGTACTGTAATTGAATTACTCTAAGGTTTATGCCACCGCTGTTGCCATCTCCCTATCCCCAATAACATTTTTACTTATTTTTTTTAACAAATGAGTTTTTAAATATTTATTGATAAATTTTATTTTTATTAACTCTTTATGTTTATTAACTCTTTAATATTTATGGATCTTTTTACAGTTAAATCGACCATCTGAAACTGTTGCTGCTAGTTCTGATGATTTCATCTTGAAGACATATGTAAGACGAAATAAGACTGAAAGTTTTAAAACTTTGAAAGGCAACCCAATTGGACTTAACATGTTGAACAACAATAAGAAATTGAGGTATAAGCACCTCACCCCAGTACCCTACATAAAACATAAAGGGTTTAACACCAAAAGATAACTATCTTTTAACTATAAAACTACCCTGTACCTTTTCTTTTGAATTTGTCAGTAGGTCAAGATATACGATGGTCTTAATGTGTAGATTCTTTGCTTTGAATCTCGGGGGTAGGGTTGATTGCAGTGATTTCTTGATTCTGAATAGAACACTGCAAAAAACATTTCAATAGGCAGTCATCTGATGTGTTTATTTTGATTTAGTTAGTGGAATTTCAGTGATAATATTAGAAATAGAAGGCATTGTAAGGTGGGATGGTCATAATGTCTTTTAAGATATTCTAATTAAGATTGTCTCAACAAGGGAATTTTTTTTCTCTTATAGATTTCTTATTCCTCTTCCAGATATAACCCAACTTTCATAGCGCTTATAGTGAACCACTGTTACTGATTAGGATTGGACTATCAGTAACAAACCATAAGTGGGGTTAAAAAATTGCTCTCCTCTATCACTTTATAAATAGCTGAGATCCATAAAGGTGAAGTAACTTTCAACTTAGTGGCAGAATCAGAAATAAAATTTAGGATTCTGGATTTCCGTTCTAGTGTTCTATTTGTTATTTTTCCCCTGAAACTGTATGGGAAACATTAAAAAAAAAAAAAAAAAAAACTTCCAAGGGACAATTTTGTACAGTTAATTGAGCTTATCTATAAATTTTTTAAATGGTAAAGATTTTATTGTGTATACTTAGATTTTAGAAGAATTTATTTTGTCATTGTGTATGTAATTTTTCTCTTGTTTAGATTATTTTTGTTTCTTAAATTTTGCAGTGAAAATACACAAAATGCATCATTATGTTCTGGAACTGTAGTTCATGGTAGACGTTTTCATCATGCTCATGCACAGATACCAGTAGTAAAAACAGCAGCCCAAAGGTAAGGATTCTAATTCTATTTATCTTTAACAGGAGTTGTTTTTTTGTTAAACAAACTTTTTTTTTTCCTTTGTGGAGAGAAAAAGAGGTAGATCTCTGAAATAATTTATGACCTGAAATTTTCTTATTTTATTTCTGTTTTTGAAATAATCACATTTTATAAATAGAGAATTTTAAAATACAAGTCACTGTATTGCATTACAATTCAATATCTAAGAGATATTTAAATTAAACTGATTTATGATATTGACCATACACTGTTTGACTAATAAATGCTCAGTTTTTGGTAGTTGAGCTCTGGAGAGTAAAACTATAGCTATTACTTTATTTGCTTTGTAAGGTTTCATAGTAATAAAACAAATTATGCTATTTTTTAAATGTTTGAGATAATCTTGATTTTAATAGATTTAGGAGTTCTCATTGATCTTGAAAGTCTGGCTTCAACATTGAAATAATGAAAGCAATAGTTGAGGAAAGCCTGGTATGCTTTTGAGGTTTTTCAGAATGATTTTTGAAATGTTAACATCCCTTTCATTTGATTCTAGCGGTTAAATAGTGTACTGCATTACATTATAAGTAGTCTTTTATAGCTGATAAAATTTAAAGACACATTTTAAATGCTATTTTTTGTTTTTAAAAATGAAAATCTAGGCTGGTACTCATTTAAAAAATGTGTCTGGAACCTTAGGATTCCTTCTTATATATATTCCATGTTTATATAGATTTAAAAACCTTAAATCTCTCATAATTTTTTTTACTTAAATGTGTTATCAGAGTATCACATAAGATACTTGATAAGTTCAATTAAGATAAATTAATGTACATACCAAAAATTGGCTTTCCCTAATGCAAAGTACACAAACTCTTTACCTACATGTGGGACAAACATGAAAATGTGATAAAAGAGTAATTGTGGCAAGGGAAGAAGAGGAAACACATGCCCACACACCGATCACACTAATAGAAACTGTTATTGATTAAAAAACTATATTCTTGATATTATGAAAATCTGGTCTAAGTGGAATTACTAATTTAAAATTTATTTTATTTTTTATAGTGCTGAGGATTGAACCCAGGCTGGGCCTTGTACATGCAAGGCAAGCACTACCAACTGAGTATATCCCAGCCCTAATTTAAAATTTATAATCACATTGATTATATTTTACAGCTTAAAATATTAAATTATTATTGCTTTTGAAGTTATCAGTTTGGTATTATTTACACCATGACCTATTCTCCTTCCTTTATGTCCTCATTGGAATGTTTGAAAGATGATTATAGTCTGGAAATTGGGTTGTGTTTCATTTTATTCTTTTTTTAATATTTATTTTTTAGTTGTAGGTGGACATAATATCTTTATTTCATTTTTATGTGGTGCTGAGGATAGAATCCAGCACCTCATGTGCTCACTAGGCAAGCACTCTACTACTGAGCCACCACCCAAGTCCCTTATTCTTAATCTTTTTTTTTTTTTTTTTAACTTTATTTTTGGGGTTTGAGGGTACCAGGGATTAACCTCAGGGGCACTTGATACTGAGCCACATCTCTAGCCCTATTTTGTATTTTATTTAGAGACAGGACTGAGTTGCTTAGTGCCTCACTTTTGCTGAGGCTGACTCTGAACTCGTGATCCTTCTGCCTCAGCCTCCCAAGCCACTGAGTTATGGGGGTGCTCCACTATGCCTGGCTTAACTTTATTTTTTTTATGTGATGCTGAGGATTGAACCCAGTGATTCATGTGCTAGGCAAGTGCTCTACCATTGAGCCACATCCCCAGCCCCCATTTTATTCTTAATTTTGACACCTATTCTACCTTGCATATGTATCATTCCTCATCTTTGTAAATCATTAGATTCATTTTATAAGAACTAGTGCTTAGTAATAAAATATTGTTCCTTCAAAAACAGCAACAACCTAAATTAATTTCAAAGAAACGATCAAAAGAAAACAATCCTGAGTGAAAATATTTGAAAAGAGTGATTAGGAATAGTAAAGAAAACATTTAGAGTCAAGTAAGCAGAACAGATTCTACTTAATGTTTTTCTTTTATTTATTCTGTATAAGAATAAACATGTCTTATTCCAACTGCAGTGTGACTATCATTGAAAAGATTTTTGAGGTTCAAAGACAGTCATTAAGAATTTTTCCAATTTTCTTTAAGATGAATATTAAAAAAACACTAATTTTATGCAATAGACATAAGTAAGAAACATATTCAAAGATATGACCGAGTTCTTGCCCTTGAAGTTCAAATTTAATTAGAGCAAATGATAGAAAGACAAAGAAATGGTTACCTAAGTGCCTTAGTAGAGAAGTACAAAGTATTTGTAATAATATTATAAAGCACGGGAAAAGTCACGAAGGAGGAGGTATTACAGGTACTTTTGAGTATACCAGATAGAATCACATCTTCAAAGTGTGAAGAAAACTTTGCTTAAAATGATTGGCAACAAGCAGTTGGCACAATTATCAGGCCTCAAATGAGGGTAAACACAGGGTTTTAAAGATAGCTTCTCCTAAAATTTATTTTTTTCAGGTCTTAATTTGAATTTTCAAGAAATGCCCTTTTCAAGAAATGCTTGTAATTCACAGACAGATTGTTTTTCACACACACTCAAACACACACACATGCATATTTAAGATTTTTCTAGTGTAGGACTTTATAATAAACACATTAAAGCTTTTTAAAAAATGCCATGACTTGATTGTTAGACATCATAGTAGATTTATTTTTCCCAATAAGAAAAGTGAACATGCACATATATACACTTATACTCTCATGTCCATTTTTCTTAAATATGTATATGTGTTTATATATATATATATTTTTTTTTGTTGTTTTGTTTTGTTTTTTCCTCTTCCTAACTAACTTGGTTTATTGGGAAGAATCAAACCTAGGTTTCTTTTGTTTCTATTCTGTATTGTCTTCTTTCCTGTGTACAGGTGAGTTTAAAAAAAAGCAAAATGAGAGTACTAAGCTCTTCTCATTTCGGCTCAACAGTGTGAAGTTGGAGATGACTAGATTAGGTATTAATGCCTAACTTTTGGTTTTTATTTTGCTTTTCCTAGAAATATAACTCCATATGTAGGGTAAAACAGGCTGTATTTAAACTTATATATTTTGCTTCACTTATTTTAATAGGAATGTGATGAATTTGCCTCATTTTTTTGTCATTTGTCCAAAATAGTTTTATATGTTTTTTAAATAGCAGGGGTAAAATTTCAAATGTGTTATGTAAGTTTATGATTTTTTATTGTTGAAAAAGATTTTGTTTCTTTTGAGTGTGTTTGTATACAAATAAGTTACCATATTTTTTCCCCATAATTTTCTGGAATTAAATTATTTTATGTGCTCCACATGAATATAAGAGTTAGTGTGGGAATTTTGGGATTTTACAAACTGTGCTTTGCTTACACTTAGTTTTTTATTTAGTTGTTTTCATAATAAAGATAAATAATTACAGGATGTCAATCTTGTATAGATTAATTTTTAAGTGAAGTTTCTTTTTTGAGCTTCTAGGAACTGTGGAGAAATGTGGAGTTTTTATACATAGTACTTATGATAAGAGGGCATGATTTTATTTTTTTAAATTTATTTTTATATTTATTTTTTAGTTTTAGGTGGACACAACATCTTTATTTTATTCTTTTTATGTGGTGCTGAGGATTGAACCAGTGCCTCACGCATGCCAGGGGAGCACGCTACCACTTGAGCCATATCCCAGCCCAGGGCATGATTTTAAATCCCAGACCTTTTTTTTTAAAAAAAGAAATTTTTTAAAATTAATTAATTAATTTATTTTAGTTGTAGTTGGACACAATACCTTTATTTATTTTCATGTGGTGCTAAGGATCGAACCCAGGGCCTTGCACATGCTAGGCGAGTGCTCTACCGCTGAGCCACAACCCCAACCCATAATCTCAGACTTTTTTATCATGTCTCAAATACTGTGCAGCCTCAATTTTTTTTCTTTCTCGAAAGCAAATATTCATACCTGATAATAGAATGACTAAAAATTTTGTAACTTTAAGGAAATGTTGCTATTCTTGGAAACTCTATAACTGTCCTAAAATTCCTAAAATAATGAGTATCTTCAAATGTTTGATAAAGTCCTTTCAATAATTTATTTTCATATTTGTGTATATCCATCTTTCTTGTTAAGAACATAAGAAGATTGTTTAAATTATTTTGGGTATTAACAAGAAATGAAAAATAGCTTGGATAACACTTACAACATAGTACTTAATATACATAAAATGCCTTTAAAACAAATTGATCACAATATAGTTTTGCCTTATTGACTGCAGTTAATGAAACTACAATGATAAATCAACAATGAGGTCTTGCCTCTTACATTTTTTTTCTTTTTCATGTTTTAAGCAATCCGGACCGAAAAGAAAGGTAAGCTTGATATTGTTGAAATTAGAGCATGGATATAGCAGTAAAATATCAGACTTTTAATATGCTTTGAAAAATATCTATTGAATTAGAGTTCATCATTAAAGTATATTATTAATTTTTTTTGGTTATCCTGGGAACCAAACCTAGGGCCTCATGCATGCTAGGCAGGTGTTTTGCCACTGAGCTATATTCCCTGTCTTTAAAAAGTATTAATTTTAATAGAAGGAAACCTGTTTATAGTACAACATATTATTTGGCTTACATGGGTTAGGCATAATTTACAGTAACCATTTTTCCATGAATGGTTATTACATATATATGATGATGTGTCCTACTTTTCTTTAAAAATAGAATATTTCAGTACTTCGGTAGTAAAGTTGCTTTCAGTTTTATTATCAAATTCTTTCATGTTATAATTCAGTGATAATGATCCTGCTTTTATACTTTTCTATAGTAAACTAGGGACAACTTAAACTTGGAGTTAGAACCTCAAACAGCAAATGTTTTCTATTCTAATAAAAAAATTTGTAATAGAATTTTATGTTCAACTTTCTATCAGTGTTTGTTTCCTTTGTAAGAACTGTGGTGGCCACATAGAGAAATATGAATAATATAAAGGACATGGGAAAACGTTTTCAAGAATACACATTTCTTTGAATAATGAAATGATCATAATCATTCTAAAGCAAGTGTCCCTAAAAGTAATTTCTCTCCCCTGTGATGAGAAAACTTTTTGTGTATGTGCATATCTTTTTCAAATGTTCATGAGATTCTCAAAAAAGTTTTTTGTGAACCCTGCCTTCGGACCTTCCAAACAGGTTAAAAGCCCTTATATTGAAGCAATACTTTTATATAATTGGTGAATGTGAAAAGGAAAATTATATAATTTGATCTATAATTTCACCTGTATAATTAAAAAAAATATGTAGAGAAGGTAAAAAGAAATCTGGAATATTATATAAAATTTATTATATCTTTATGAACATTGAGTTCCAGGAATACTTTTTTTTTGTTTTGTTTTGTTTTGTTTTGTGTTGCTGGGGATCAAATCTAGGGCCTCATGCATCCTGGTTATAGCATTCTGTGACTGAGCACATCATCAGCCTGAATTTCTTTCTTTCTTTTTGTGGTATTTGTGATCAAAGCCAGGGCCTCACACTTGCTAGGCAAGTGCTTACCACTGACCTATATTCCCAGCCTGCTCAGAAATACAAATTTAATGATAATCCTTCCAGTAAAAAAGATTTAAACATAATTCTGAACTATTTCACACGTGTTGTGTGTTTTAAATGAATGGGCTATGAAAATATTTTATCACCTATTTCCTAGGAAAGAGACACTTTCCCATCAGTTTTTTCCTGTTTGAGTAAATTATTACTTCTAGATACAGGTGAATCCTTTGTATCTTTTAAATGTTTTACTCATAAGTGACTGCTTTTTTAGTAAGACCATTAATATTTTTGGTAAAATTGTTAGAGTTATACTTTAAATAGCTCTTCATACAATCACACATTTAGAACAGACATTTGTTTTGTCCAAATAAGTATTCTTCCCTTCATGCCATTGTAATTGAAATGCGGGTGCTGTTATATTATCAGAATAATAGAAAGATCTTAGGTTTTTTTTTTTTTTTTACAGTAGCCCTGTAGGGTTGATGCTAATTGTTTTCTACTGCTTTGACTTACACATAATTTTTGTAATGAGAGCTTCATTTCATGATATATTTTAGCAAATATTTAAATGCCTTTATGTGTCAGGCACTCTTCTTGGAGTTGACAAAAATCCTACTCTCTTGTAGCTTACATTCTTATCAGTATAATGCTAGAATAGGAGTTAGAAGATCAACAAATAAGCAGTATAGCTGTAGGCTTATTAATTGCTATAAATGGTTAATTTTAAAGTTTTGTTGGGAATAAATGAGATAATTATTTAAAATTGATTTTATACACTGTAATAAATGGAAAATTTTTGAGTACTAATAATAATAGGTGTTAATTCTTTTAATCCTTTGTTGCTAAGATTACCTCTAAGGACTAAAGCTCTTGAAAACTAGATGTGAAGCAGAAACTGTTTATGAAAGTCCTTGTAACAAATGTACCTCAGTGCTTTACAAGGCAACTTATTTACTGTTAGGGTGAATTTAGTACATAATCCTTTGGATCCTTACATAAAATTATTTTGTTAAACAAAAGAATGTTTGCGTTATCAGATTTTGTTTTGTTAATTTTTTTTAGTTGTTGATAGACTGTTTTTTAAAAAATTTGTATGCGTTGCGGAGAATCGAACCCAGTGCCTCACACGTGCTAGGCAAGTGCTCTACCTCTGAGCTATAGCCCCAAGCCCAATCACTTTGTTAATTTTTTGTTCACATAGCCGTTTCCTCCCTTTTATGAATAGTAAGCCACATTTTTACCCCCTGATGTGTTAGGAATAATAGTTTTCTTAGCTTTATTCTTTACTACTTAAGGAACTATAAATCTCTGAAATAAATCAATATTCATAAGACAGTGGTTTATCTAATAAAAGTCAGGTAGTTGTAAAAGCTTAATCTCTCCCTGTTTTTTTCTACTTTTACTATTTGCTGGGCACATTGAGATATGTTATAATCTTAAAACTAAGATACAGTAAACAAATTAATTAACAGTATTAAGCTCCAGAGATTTAGCCTTTAAAGAAAAGAAAAAGAAATTGCTACCAGTTTTTCTACATTGTGGGTAACTTTGACAACTTGAATAAAACAAAGTTTTTTCTGACTCTTGGCCATATGTATTGTGAATATAGTGTATGTGGTAGCACCAACAACTCAGAATATATAATCTGATATTTGAACTGTTTTATTTTGTTCCTTATATAAATAATCTGTTGACACATTATACAACTAAAGCGTACAGTGATTTTTAAATGTAGAATTTATTTTTAATATTTATATTTAGTGTATAAAGTGGGTCCATAACTATAGAGAATTTTGAAACAAAAGTACAAAGGTAAAGAGAATAAAACAATAAAAATAGGAAATACAGGAAGTGTTTACTTATAGGTTGTGTTTAAAAAGACAAGAGTAGTTAAGGTTTATATAATTTTTTTTTAAAAAAGTTCTCAGAGTAGAAAATTACATGTTAGGATTTTTATTTTATTTATTTTTTGGTACTGGGGATGGAATTCAGGGATGCTTTACCACTGACTATAGCTCCAGCCCTATTTATGTTTCATTTTGAGACAGGATCTTACCAAGTTCCCAAGGCTAGTCTAGATAGAACTCAAGGTCTTCCCACTTCAGCTTCCCAAGTTGCCAGAATAACAGGCGTGCGTACATACCTCATACAGCATATGTTAGAATTTTGATGCATTTTCTCTCTGATATTTATTTTTGTATGCCCTTTTTAATATGTTTAACATGTGGGTTAATCATAATGAAAATACTTTTAACTGTGTGTTCCAACAGTTTGGAGCAACTGTGTTTACCTAACAGTATGTTCTGAGCATTTTCCAGTATTATTAAGTTAGCTTCTAAAGAAAGATTTCTGTTAAGGTGGTGGTTGCCCAGGGGTACTCTATCACTGAGATACATTCCCAGCATTTTTAAATTTTTTATTTTGAGACAGGGTCTCATTAGGATGCCCTAGCTGGCCCAAACTTGTGATCTTCCTACCTTAACCTAAAGAGTCACTAGGATTACAGGAGGGGGCAACCATGCCCAGCTCTTAAAAATAATTTTTAATGTCTGCATAATAGCTTGCCTTATAGATACCCATAATATATTTACTCATTTGCTCATTTGTGGCTGTTTTTCACTATTATTAAAACACATTGGTGAACAATATTGCTTATAAATCTTTAACTGCATTTCTTAGAATAAATCTCTGGAAAAGGGTTCATTGGGCCATGTTACAAATGTTTTTAATTCTTTTGATAAGTATGGCTGAATTGTTTATAGGGCAATGGAACTAATTGATGATAACACTGTCAATTGTTGCCTCAAGATGTATAAAAATAAACTTATATTCAGATGATTTTTTTTCTTCCTTGGAATTATGAGTCATCTGAAATTTTAGAAATAATAAGAATTGATCAAGATGATAGATGATTATTTCATCCCTAATCAATTGAATACTCTAATTCACCTCTAAGCACGTGAATTTGTCCCCCCCCCCCTTTTTTTTTTTGGTGGTGCTGGGGTTTGAACTCAGGAATTTGTCTTTGAAAAGACAAAAATTTCATTTATGATAGTACCTACAATTATATAAATATATCTAAAGAAACTAATTTGAGGCATTTATTTTGTTCCTATTTGGTAGGAGTTTATACCATGTGGGCAGCTACTGCTTAAAATAAAATGAATGTAATTTAATTCTATCCAAAAGAGTAAATATTTGAGAATAGAAAGTTGAAGACTTATTTTTTAAAAAGAAGAAGAAATGGGGATAGAGAAGAATGACTTGCTACATGATAAAACCTACTATTAAGAAAATACAGATTAAACTTGAAAACACTAGGAAAAGAGTAGGTGGTAAAACAGTAAACAGGCTAGACAGTCTTGAATGTATTGAATTCCCACCCAGTTTCTTCAAGTCCACAGCTAGGTATGGTGGCACATTTCTGTAATCCCAATGGCTTTGGAGACTGAGGCAGGAGAATCACAAGTTTAAAGCCTAACTTTGCTTAGACCTTAAGCAACTCATCAAGACCCTGTCTCCAAATGAAATATAAAAAAGGGTCTGGGGATGTGGCTCAGTGGTTGAGTGACCCTGGGTTCAATCCCTGGTACAAAAAACAAAAGGTCACAGTGCCTTTTAGATGCCTGAATTTTGATGTTTGATCATAAGCTGCAAAATCAATATTTTGATTCACTATACAGAAGTGCTGTGTAGTGGCCAGTGGTTCACTTTTAACAGCCATTGCCATACTTTACAGCTGTTGGTAAAATTGTTTGACCTGGTAAATATCTTCTCTGAATACACACTGCTTTTTGTATACATACTTCTATTAATTGCAAGTATTTGTTGAATGCCTACTATGCTCTAGGCATAACGATATCATGAGGAACAAAACACAAGATCATTGGACTCCTGTAGTTGATATTCTGATGGGGCAAATGTTAATAATGTACAAGTGAAACTTGAAATACGTTGTTCTATGTGTAGAGAAGTATAATTGGATGATGATGAGATAGAATGACAATATGGTTTCTTTAGATTCCGTGTTCAGGGAAACACCCTTTACTATTATGACGCTAATGTTTAACTAAAGAAGGAGTCAACCATTCTAAGAATGGCTTTTCCAAATAGGGAAAAGGTAGTGGTAAGTTATTAATGCAAGAATAAATTTCACATGTTCAGTGAACAGAAAAAAAGGACCACTATAGCTAGAGATTAAAATGGAAGAATATTACAAGATTGGCTGGGACTTAGATCACGAAAGGCTTTTGTAAGCTGATCTGAAGAATTTGTATTTTATATTAATGGAATAGAAGACTTCTAAGAATTTTAGGTAGGGAAGTGTTATTCTCTGAAATATAATCTTTTTTTAAACAATATCTTTGTTTATTTAGTTTTATGTGGTGCTGGGGATGGAACCCAGTGCCTCATGTGCTAGGCAAGTGCTCTACCACTGAGCTACAACCTCAGCTCCGTGAAATATAATTTTATATATATATATATATATATATAAAATTTATAATTGGTACAGTTAAAGGTTAAGTTAATGACAGTTCAGTTAAAGCTAAACATATTGCACTTTCTAAATGGAGATATGATGCAAAGGAAAATCAATATTGAAAACTATCTCAGCAAAATTTAGGAGTTAAGGAGGTAGAGAGATAGAAGAAAAACAAGCCTTCTGGAAGGGTTAAAGGGAAAATAACAGGCCTTATTTGGGGAGAGGCCATTTTTAGGGAATGGTTAAGTGAGAAATTAAAGGATACTGAAGGTCTCATTCCATTAGAGACATATAGTGCTTGTGCTGCTATATTGTGTTGTGTTTGAGAAAATAGTACTTTTTTGTTGTTTTATTTTTGATGGTGGGGATTAACCTCACTCAGGGCCTTGCATATTCTCTACCACTAGACTACTCCCTCAGCCCCTAGACTGTTCATAACATGTTAAAGCAAAGCAAATTAAATGTGAAACTGCAATAAGGTTTAAGGGAGAGATAAAATATTCTTTTGTTAAATTAACTGGAGGAGGAAATGAATAGTTAATAGGAAAAAAAGGAAACATACAATAAATATAAATCTAAAAACAAGCTAATACAGATGAAAGAAAAACATGAAGTCTGTCAGCTATTATAAATATAAACAGTTTGATGATTGATTGATTGATTGCAGTACTGGAGATTGAATCTGGAGCCTCTCTAACACTAAGCTACATCCCCAGCCTTTTTTACTTTTTATTTTGAGATAGTCTCGCTAAGTTGTGCAGGCTGGCCTCAAACTTGGGATCCTCCTTCCTCTTCCTCCTCGGCAGTTGGGATTGTAGGTGTGTGGCCACTGTGCCTGGTTGGTTGAATACATTTAATAAAAGACAAACTGGTTGTATTAAACACTATTCTACTGTATTTTTTGTAAGAACCATACTAAACAGTTTGCAAGTAAAGGTATGTTTAGGGTCACAGAGAAATGCAAACAGAAAGTAAGGGTAGAATATTAATTAATGAGACTGAATTAAGGAGTAGAAGCACTAAACAAGATAAAGGAGGACATTTTATAATATGCACAATTTATAAAAGTATATCAGGTATATATATATATATGAGCTCCCTGAAAATTTTTACAATGCAAGTAGTTCTTAATTGGAATAAATTTGGGGAGATTTTGATACATCTTTTAAATTTTTAACTGTTCTATCAGTTAAAAAGTATCTGAAATAATGAATTCTAACTGTGTAAAATGAATAGATTTATTTTTTATAGAAATATACATCTTTTGACATTAGTTGATAAACAGTGCCCAGGTTCTGGTTTTTAAATATCACTCTCTAATAAAAGAAACATGGAGAAATGATTGATTCTAGGGATGTACTGGGGAAAACACAAAATGAATGTTGCCAGAAACCAGATCATTACTCCAAAAAATGAATAAGTAAGTGAAAGGGTGCCTGCTTTAGCAGCTAAAATTGGAACAGTTCAGAGATTGTATTGTACAAATTTGTATTATCACAATTAGTAAAGTTTTCATATTTTTCTAAATTTTCCATTATGTGTGTTACACAGTGAAAACCAGGATAGAATTACATCAAAAGAAAACAGAAATAGCTGAAGGAGCTCGTAAAGGCCAAAATTTTAATAAAAACTAGAACCTTAAGGAAAAAATAACTATCCCTGAGTCATACTGATGTAAATAATTATGTATTAAACCATCTTAGTAGTCTTGAAATAAACACCGCCTTCAATACCATGCCAGATTTGCTAATAAGATTTTACAAAGTGCATAAAATGAACTGGAAGATAACTGTTCCTTACAGAAGAGTTTCAAGTAATAATATCTACCACCTTTTCCACTATTGTTACCACTAATCTTCACACTTTGTATCTTCTTTCACAAATTTTAAAATCTTGGCAGAGTGGAAATTGCCCAGCTGTACCAAATACTGCTGTACTCATCATGATTGATAAGAGTTTTCTAATATTCAGCTTCTGGTATTGCCATTTAGTAGCTATGTGACCATGAGGAGACTGTGCCTCAGTCTCCTCATTTATACATTTGTAAAAAAGTATACTCATAAGGTTATTGTGAAAATTAAAGGAATTAATAGATAAAAAGCAGTTAGAATAGTACCTAACATGATTTTCAATATTTGCTAACTGCTAATACAAATATATTACTGTCACCATTCTTTAATAGTTTCTTCTTTTGTAATTTTCACATTTTATTTTCATTTTGGTACTTTTGACTTTTATAGTGTAGGAATATGAAATCCTTGCAAAAATATGCCTTTGCGGTTTGTGATGATTAGAAAATATTCATTACTAGTGTGAGCAGATTTGTAGATAAATAGAATAGCCTCTTTTTAATCCCCCAGTTAAATATTAGCAGGAATATTTTGGAAGCTTTCATTTAGGGTGGGAAAGTATCGAACTATTGTAGACCCCTGGCCTATTTGTACTTTTTGTAATTCTCTGTATATAAATGCTTTTATTCTACCACTACCTGTAGGGCTTTTGGTTTTTTTCCCCAAATTAGTGTAGTTTGGACTTATATAGATATAGTATATAGGACACTTAGTTACTAAAAATTAAGTTTAAATCAATTGTACATGAACTCTTGACAAAATTATATTTTAAAACTAGTATATTTATTTTCTCTGCTATAATGTAGTAATAGTACAAAAACTAAAACACTTGTTCCATAATTGATGGTTTTGTACATAACATTTTTTGTACTGATTTTGTAATTATCCTCAAAACCTATATTTTATTCAACATTTATTGTTTTATTCATTGACTTGTTTTTAAATAAGCATAAACATTTACAGTGAGTTTGGATATATTGAGTAATATTAAGCTGGGTAATTCTTTATCCAAAGTAGGGTATATGGATTTTAAGTTTTAGTTTTTAAATGTGATTTTTATAAACTGATTGTAAAAGCAATTCTAAAGGTTTGTGCATTTGGGGAATAAATGTATAGAGCTTTCCAAAGTGACTATTTTGAAAGCTAGGTTTGGTAGTGCACACCTTAGTCCCAGGTACTTGAGAGACTTGAGGCAGCAGAATCCCTTGATTCCAGGAGTTCAAGGCCAGTCTGGGCAACATAGCAAGGCCCTGTCTTTAAAAAATATGTGTATGTGTATATACATTAATAAAATAAAACAGAATGAGAACTTTGAAAGGACAGTGATTTAAATTTATTTATTTTTTATTTTTTTTTAAATATTTTTTAATATTTATTTTTCAGTTTTCGGTGAACACAACATCTTTATTTTTATTTTATGTGGTGCTGAGGATCGAACCCAGCGCCCCGCGCATGCCAGGCGAGCGCATTACCGCTTGAGCCACATCTCCAGCCCTAAATTTATTTATTAAATATTTATTTAACAGTCTGCCTTTTATTGGCTTGGAAAGATTGACAGTCTAAATAAAGTAGAGTCACTGCTGTTTAGGGATTTTATATACCTTAAGCTTTAGTTTATTAATACAGTTTTAGTATCTTATAGTATGACTTTTTATATGACAAAGAAACTATGATTTACTTTTAATAAATGCATTGTAAGTATCCCCTTAACTTTTTAATTTTGAAAATTACATTTCCTATTTGAGTAAAACCATATAAATTTCCTTTTCTAGGAAAGAATATCCACCTCATGTCCAAAAAGTTGAAATTAATCCTGTAAGGTTAAGTCGGCCCCAAGGTGTTGGTAAGTGTGCAGTTTCATTTGTTACACCTGTGAAGGGATTTGAATTTCTGTATGAAAAGTACAAATAGAAATATGACACTGACTTTAGAATATTCCCAGATAAACTGAGTTCAGTGATGTATACCTGTAAGCCCACTTACTCAGGAGGGTTAGGAGACCCTGACTCAAAATAAAATAATAAAAAGGACTAGGGATGTAGCTCAGTGGTAGAGAACTTGGCTAGCATGCATGGGATCCTGAGTATAATCCCCAATACAAAAAAAAAAAAAAAGAAAGAAAGAAAAAAAAACAGATTTAGATAGAAATATATAGAAAATAATTTTTATAACTGATTTGAGCATTTCTCCTAACTTTTGACTGCTATATGGTTGCAGAGTCAGGTGATTATAGTGTGAAATCTTTTGGTTATGTATTAGCATTTTTTGTTAACATTCAAATGTTAACTATAGATGAACTATAGCTAATAGTGTTTACCTTCTTCAACACTCATCCTGTTAGGCCTTTAATCTTTATTAAACTCTTACTCTGTAGTATATGCTAAGTTACATGCTTTTATATCCATTATTATATATTATCCCTATTCAAAAATCCCTGTATACTTTTACTTGTATTTTGTACAGAGAATAAAACTGAGGCATGGAAGAATTATATGGCTTGCTTAAGCACAGGGCTAGCAAATGGAGAGCTGATACTTGATGCCAAATCCCATGCTCTTAGCCACTATACTATTTTCTTGCTCAGTCACAAAATTAGTTCTACTCCTCAGTGAAAAACTAACTGTACAACGAGTATTTTCATTTCTACTTGACAAATGCTTTTTTGTTTTTTCGTTCTGGGATTGAACCCAGGGGCACTTCCCCATATCCCCAGCTGTTTATTTATTTATTTTTTTAATATTTATTTTTTAGTTGTAGTTGGACACAATACCTTTATTTGATTTATTTTTATGTGGTGCTGAAGATGGAACCCAGGGCCTCGCATGTGCTAGGCGAGCGCTCTATGGCTGAGCCAGAATCCCAGCACCACCCTCCCACCCCCCTCACCCCTCCCACCTCCCCCCCACCCCCCACCATTTTTAAATTTTATTTATAGATAGGGTCTCACTGAGTTGCTTATAGACTCACTAAGTTGCTGAGGCTGGCTGTGAACTTGTGATTCTCCTGCCTCAGCCTCCCAAGCTGCTGTGATTATAGGTATATACCACTGCTCCCGGCTTGATAAATACTTTTGAGAGAGGTTAAGTGATTTGGATCATTAATATGATTTAGATGCAAAACAGTCAGTCTTGTTATAATAATTATTAGTTTATTCAACAAGATTTGTTAAGTAAATAGAATTCTATTTTTATTGTTGTTGTTAACTCTATTTTGGAAAGTTGCAAAACTAGTACAGAGAGGTACCTGTTTATCCTTCAATGAGCTTTCCTTAATATTAACATCTTTCTAATAATAGTAAATTTATCAAAACTGAGAAGTTGCTTAGTTCTTAACTAAGCTATTGACCTTGTTCATATTTTTTTTTCTAATGTCCTTTTTATTTAAAAATTTTTTTAATGGTACCACTTAATGATTATATATGTGTGTGGCATAATTCGATCAATTTCACTGCCTAGTACTTCCCCTATTGCACTGCTTGTCCTTCCCTGGACCCTCTACTCCTAATGGTCTCCCTTTTATTTTTATGATATCTTTCCCCTGCTCCCCCCTCCTTTTTTTTCTGTATAGCTATCACATATAAGAGAAAACTTAGCACTTGTCTTTCTGGATCTCACTTATTTTGCTTAACATAATACTGTTTGTTTTCCTGATAATGACATTATTTTCTGTATGTCTGAATAAAACCATTGGGTGTATATGTATCCACCCCCCCCCCCCATTTTTTTTTTTTAGTCATTCAATCTTTATCTGTTATAATTTATTCTTATTTATTGATAATGGTACAAAAACTAGACTGTTGTGAAATGTATTATAACAATAAATGTGGGACTGCATACATCTCTAAAGTATGCTGTCTTTAATTCTTTTGGAGAGATACCAAGGCATAATGTATAATTGGAACATATGGTGTGTATCTATTTAATTATTTTTAGTTTTTTTTTTTTTTTTTTTTTTTTGTACTCTGGGTTGAACCCGTTGGGGCTTTATCACTGAGCCACATCCCAAACCCTTTCTTTCTTTTCTTCTTTTTTTTTTTTTAATATGAGACAGGGTCTTGCTAAGTTTCTGAGGCTGACCTTGAACTTTTGATGCTCATGCCCTAGTCTCTGGAGTCACTGGGATGCCTGGTTGTTGTAGTTAATTTTTAGTTCTTTGTTGTTTTGTTTTAAGGAACCTGCCTGTACAAGGGTTTTGTTTTATTTGCATCTTTGCCAGCATTTATTGTTATTTGAATTCTTGATGATTATCATTCTGACTAGAGTGAGATGAAATCTCAGTATAGTTTTTTTTTTAATATTTTTTTTAGTTGTAGTTGGATGTAATACCTTAATTTTATTTATTTATTTTTATGTAGTGCTGAGGATCAAACACGGTGCCTTACATGTGCTAAGTGAGCGCTGTACCACTGAGCCACAACCCCAGCCCTCTCAGTGTAGTTTTGATTTGCATTTCCCTGATGCCTAGAGATGTTGAGCATTTTTTTTCATATAATTGTTGACATTGTACTTTCTTTGGGAAGTGTCTTTCTAGTTGTACTTATTCATTTCTTGAGTTATTTGGGGTTTTGGTATTAAATTTTTTTAATATATTCTAGTTTTCATATATTCTAGATACATCCTTTATTAGAAGAAGAGCTGGCAAAGGTTTTCTCCCATTTTGTAGGTTCTCTCCTTATGTTGTTTCTTTGCTGTTTCGAAATTTCTTATCTGGCTGCCATTCGTTTCTTGGTGGTGTTATTAATTTTGGTATTGGGGATTGAACTTGGGGTGCTTAACCACTGAACCATATCCCCAGCCCTTTTTTAGTTTTGATTTTGTGACAGGGTCTCATTAAATTGCCTAGGGCCTCACTAAATTGCTGGGGTTGGCTTTGAACTCATGATCCTCCTGTCTCAGCCTCCTGAATTGCTGGGATTATAGGATGTGTGCCACCGTGACCTGCTGATTCTTGGTATTATTTCTGACCTTTCTCTCTTGCAGTTTTAAAATTTTTTATTTGTTTTGGATTTTTGACATTTTAGTTATAATGTGTCCTGAAGAATTTCTTTTCTGGTCTTATAATCTGCTCTTCTAAATGCCATCAGTATGTGGATGTGCATTTCATTCACAGCGTTTGGAAATTTTTCTGCAGTTTTTTCACTGCATAGGTTATTGATTCCATTAGCCTATATCTTTGCTCCTTCCTCAGTGCCTAAGTTTGGTCTCCTGTGTTGTTGTCCCAGAGTTCTTGCATATTCTAATCATAGTTTTTTCCTTTACTACTGTAACTATTCAGCTATATCTGCCTTGTCTACTAGCTATGAGATTCTGTATTATACTTGACTTAATCTGTTGGAGAGACTTTGAGGTGTTTTTGCCTTTTAATACTGGGGATTGAAACAGCAGGTGCTTTATTACTGAGCTACATCTCCAACCCTTTTTATTTTTTTGACATAGGGTCTCACAAAGTTTCTTAGGGCCTCACTGAGTTGCAGAGGCTGACTTTGAACTTGGTGATCCTCTTTGCCTTGGCCTCCAGAGTTGCTGGGATTACAGATGTGCACCTCTGTACCTGGGTTTGACTGAATTTTATTTCCAATATTTTTGTTTTGATTCTTTTTCAGTATCTCTATTGAAATTTTTCTTTTTTTATTTTTGTGGTGCTGGGGATTGAACCCAGGGCCTTGTGTATGCGAGGCAAGCACTCTACCAACTGAGCTATATCCCCAATCCTCAGAATCGCTAATGCTTTTTCATATTCTATATTATCTGCCTTAGATCTTTTTAAATTCATTAATTATTCTAGCATTTCTACTTAATTATCTGTGGATTGATTTATCTGTGTTGGGGGTCAGCTTTCAGAGACACAATGTTAGCATGTTGCCTCATTGCTTAAGAGTTTTTGTATTTTTTTAAAATATTTTTTTAGTTGTAGATGGACATAATACCTTTATTTATTTTGTTTATTTTTACGTGGAGCCAGGGATCGAACCCAGTGCTTCACACATGCTAGGCAAGCGCTCTATCATTGAGCCCAAACCCCGGCCCCTCTGTGTTGTTTTTGCATTTGTTTTGATGGGTTCTTTTGTCATGTGAGGGTTTTTAGTAAGTAGTTATCACTTTATAATATTCCCCGAGCTAGGGGAATATCTTAGCATCAAAGCATCTAATCAGAGTAATCAAAGTACTACGTTCAACTACCAGGTTCCCTTAGAAAGGAAAGAGTTACCGTTGGTAAAGTGATAACTTGAGGAACTGTGAGCTACATGTTTTAGAAACTTAACTTCTAATGTTCTCTGCAACTCTACTAACTAATGAGAAAACTAGATGAGAAATAATATAGAGTAGAGTGCATTGTTAAGAATCGATAATACTCTATATTACATGAAATCATTGGAAGAAGGGTGAAAAGGAAAGAAAAAGTGGGGAGGGAAGGGAGACAGAAAATAAATAAAAAGAAGAAAGGATGAATGAGAAAAAAAGACTTATCAAGAAAAATCTTAACTAGTTGAAAAAATGTATAAAACTACATAGAGAAGACACGACAAACCTTTGCCAAAAATAGCTAATACAACCACAATCATCAAAAGATTCTGCTTTCTCTTTGCTGAGGTATTAGGGAGACACTTCTTTAAGGGGCCTTGATTTTAGAGTCCTTCAGTTATGAGGTAGTTTGTGGGACACTCTATATGCTGATCTCAACCCATCCTTGCCTACCAGCAAGTGAAGGAAGAGTTTTGTCCATTTTAGAGCAGAATTCACCTTCAGTGTTATTGTGCTTTTGTATTGGGGATGGGGGTATATCTCTGGTAGAAGTAACTGGATAGTCTTCTCACCAGGTAGCCTGTGGACTAATCTTGATCAT